ATTTCTTATATTTCCGGCTTATATAATCAATAGCATTCAAAATGTATCTTACATTATCCCTATGAATCTCTGGAACAAATCCAGCATGATCAGGATGTATCAATTCAATTAAAAGGCCATTTACTCTGTTTGCAGATATTGTCATAAAGAGGTTATAATTTACATTAAATAATGAAATGGGTCTGTACAACTCTTCTTTATAAATCAGATACTATGATGGAATGTATCTACAAGGAGGACAGTGATGTGGGAGATCAAGGCTATCAGGAGGGAGGGGGTACATTCCAGCTGGGGAAAGGAGACAAAAGACAATTCAGTCCACAAGAGGAGCATGGGAAGGGTAAGAGGTTCGGGATAGCCACTCCCTAGAATCTCCCAGGGTATATCCACTAGTTGCTGTAGTATAAATTTAGTTTGGCAAGATTCTGTCTATAAAGTATGAGCAAATAAAGAAACTATACTCAACTGGACTGTTTCACTGTTGTTCTTGGGCTGGGCCTGACAGATACAGGTAGTTCTTATTTAACAACCACTTGTTCAATGACCATTCAAACTTAGAATGGTGCTGAATGAGTGATACTTACGACTGGTCCTCATAGTTGCGGCTATCACAGTGCCCCCATGGTCACGTGATCGTGATTCAGGCACTCAGCGACTTGCCCACAATTACAACAGTCACAGCATCCCATGGTCATGGGATCACGATTTGGGACCTTCCCTGCTGACTTCCCACAAGCAAAGTCAATGGGGAAGCCAGCAGGAAGTCCGAAGTTGTGGTCATGTGAAGTCCTTGCTTAATCACCCATGCAGTCCTCGCTTAACGATGGCTGCCGGAACAGCCATAGCTAAGCACTGTGGTCATATGATGTCGCACTTTACGATTGCATCACTTAGCAATGGAAATTCCAGTTCCAATTACCTTTGTTAAATGCCTACCTGTAAATTAAAGCTTCCTTCTAAGAGGACATTGCTAAGTGTCATCATTACCTGTGTTAATAGTTTGATCAGAATTTCCTGGAAAGTCTTATACTATATTGCAGAAAATCCATCAGGTTCTAGAGATTTCTTCAGTTTCAGTGTTTATATTGTTTCTTTTATTTCCTCTTCATTACTGGTTTTTTAAGAGTTTTGTTTTGTTATTCTGTGATAATAACCTGCCTTGGATCTTCAGACTGTTCTAAATGTAATATCTGTTTACTGTATAATCTGGAATAATGTTTAAGAAATTGATTTATTTTCTATTGTTGAAACATATCTGTTGCCATCTCAAATAGTCATGATAAGAATTTTCTCTTGTTCCTTTCATAATTGCTAAGCCAGCAGTTTATCTGGTTTATTGCCTTTTTCAAAATATTTTTGTTTGGCAAAGTTCAGCTTCTTAAAGTGTCATTTACTGCTATTAAGATGTTTACAGGTAGCTTTAATATTTCGTTCTAAATCAAAATCTTAGTTCTAGTTGCTTCAGTTCAATCATCAGGTTGTTGGTTTGTGTTGTATAGCTTTCTGTTTGATGCTAAAGAAATCAACAGTCTCATCTTAAATTGAATTCGATACTGTAAATAAACATCAGAAGTTAAATTAGTTTAGAAGTTCTTTAGTCTGTATTGACCCTTCAGTGTAATATTCTCTTTTAGCATTAATAATAAATAATCTACCACTCTAAAGATTCCTCTATAAACTTACAAGTATTAGATTATGATCAGCATAGGTAAGAGGTCCAACTTCCATATCTATATGTTTGGTTAGGAATTAACTAGAACATGTTAATCCTTGAACAGTTTTTATGAATGGAAGAATAATAAGTATATTCCTTTTCTATGTAAGGCTTACTCCATTCGTCTCAGAGAAACTCTCGTGACACGTGTGTCGCCGTGCCGTGCTCTGCTGAATCTGACATACTGCCCCCCTGAAGACAAACTCTCCCCCCCCCTTTACCTTGGCTTCCCGGAGTGCCCTCTGTAAAAGTCCTGGACCAGTTCGGGCACCCTAACGTGGGCTCTGTTCACCCATTCGCTGTGTGATTTTGGAAAATGCTTCCATTGCACCAACAATTGGATTTGTCCCTTGTTTTCTAGCATCCCGTATTTGCTTCACTTCAAAGTGCCACTCCCCGTTGACCATAATCAGGGCTGGGACTGGCTCTTCCCTGTACCAATTGTTATCCGGTTGGTGTGGTTTCAACAAGCTGCAATGGAAGACCGGATGGATCTTCCTTTGTGCCTTGGGGAGCATCAACCTGACGGTCACCGGATTAATTATTTCCGCAATGGGAAACGGCCCCACAAACCATGGGCTGAGTTTCTTTGAGGCTTGGTGGGTCTTTAGGTTTTTTGTTGAGAGGCATACTTGGTCTCCTACCTTCCACTGCCACTCAGGGAGCCGCTTGCGATCGGTGTGTTTCTTGTAGTCTGCTCTGGCCTCTTGCAGCACCGTTCGTACTGCCTGCCTCGTGGCGTCTATCCGGGCAAACCAAGCGTCCAACGAGTCTATCCGGGATGCCGATTGGGGTAGCTCCGGCATGGGGACAAAGTCTTGTCTGGTAGCCACCTTAAGCGGGGTGAAGCCGGTGGTTTTATGGACTGTGTTGTTATATGCTACCTCCCCAAACGGTAGCAGCTCTGCCCAGTCGTCTTGCTGGTATCCCACATAGCACCGCAGGTACTGCTCCACGCCCCCGTTAAGGCGTTCCGTGGCCCTGTCCGTTTGTGGATGTGCCGCTGAAGAGAGGGCTTGCTGAGTTCTCACCCGTTTTAGGAACTCTTGCCAGAAGCACGCGATGAAGTTCCCGCCCTGATCACTGACAACTTGTCGGGGTGTGCCGTGCAAACGGTAAATGTGCTGCACAAACAGCCGCGCCAGCCTCTCCGCCGTGGGGACTTGCCGACAAGCTACGAAATGCGCTTGTTTGGAGAACAAGTCTGTCACGACCCAAATATCAGTTTTCCCCTTGCTCTCGGGCAGCTCCACAATGAAATCCATGGCGATTTCCTGCCACGGACCATCGGGCGTCACAACCGGCTGGAGTAGTCCCCGGGGCTTGCCTCTACTCCCTTTTGCCGTTGCGCAGATTGGGCAGCCTCCCGTGTATGGTTCCATGTCTTTTCGGAGCATCGGCCACCAAAACTGCCTCCGGATCAGATGGAGAGTTTTTAGAAATCCGTAATGCCCCACGTTCTTGTTATCGTGAGCTCTCTCCATCACCTCCCTCCAGCACCCTTTAGGCACATACAGTTTGTCCTTGTGCCACCACAAGCCCCCCTGGCCCATCAATGAGTCTTGGTTCTCTGTGAGCCAAGTGTCCTGCTCCCCAGCTTCTAGGAAAGTCTGTTTGAGCCCCAGTTCTGTGTCCCTCACCCTCTTCTTTGTTTGGCTCCGGGTGACTCCTTTTGTGGCCAGTCAGTTCGTGGGGATGATCGAATCTACAATTTCCTCCCACTGGCTGGTATGCTAGGGCATTCGGGACAGCCCATCCACCAAGAAATTCCTCTTCCCCGGGATGTGTTTGAGGGTGAAATCAAACCTCCCGAAGTATTGGGACCAGCGTGCCTGCTTGGGCAAAAGCTTCCACGGAGCTTTCAGCGCTTCGAGGTTCTTGTGATCAGTCCACACCTCGAATGGCTGGGCTGCCCCCTCCAACAGATGCCTCCAGGTGGATAGGGCCCACTTGACCGCAAATGCCTCTTTCTCCCACACCATCCACCTCCTCTCCATTTCGGTGAACTTCCGGGAGGCGTAGGCGCATGGGTGGAGGGGCCCCTCAGGTCCAGGTTGCAACAGGACTGCTCCCGCCACCACGTCGGAAGCGTCCACCTGAATCACGAACCGCCGGTCCAGGTTGGGGTGGCGTAGGATGGGCTCAGCCGTGAACCCGCGCTTCAGATCCCCAAACGCCTCTTGGCACTCTGGGGTCCACACAAGAGGCATGCTGGGTTTGGGGGGCTTCCCGCTGCCCCGAGTCTTGAGCAGGTCCATTAACGGGAGGACAACCTGGGCGAAGTTCGGAATGAACTGCCTGTAGAAGTTCGCAAACCCCAAGAAGCTTTGGAGTTGCCTCCAGGTCCGCAGTGCTTCCCACCCCAGTATATCCTTCACTTTCACCAGGTCCATCTCGATGCCTCAGCTGGATATTCGATAGCTGAGATAGTCCAATTGCTCTCGATGGAATTCACACTTCAAGAGCTTGGCGTACAGCTGTGATTTTAGTAGTCTCTGGAGCACCGTGCATACTAATTTCACGTGCTCGGTCAGGTTCTCAGAATATATCAGGATGTCGTCCAAGTAGACCAGGATGCCCTGGTAAAGTAGGTCATGCAGCACCTCGTTTATTAACTGCATGAACACCCCCGGGGCCTGTCAGGGAAAAAAACACGTTAAACATGGGAGGCAGACACACCATAAAACAAGTCACCTTAAAGTTCTAAGTTCTTCTAAAGCTTTATTGAAAATTAGTTCAGCAAGAAAGTAAAGTGCAATCAAAACATACAAGGTACTTACTTAGAGACACATTGCAATGTCGACCAGCTTGACAGAGCTGTCAGGAAGACAGCTTGACCAAGTGGCGTCATTTACATGGATGCAACCCTTTTTATCCCTTTAAACCGCAAACCACAATCATGACTCTCAGAACATTCATAACGTTCCCAGAACAAGTTTCATAGCAGGTTCTGGTGCCCTGTCCCTGTCACTTCTGTTCCCATCAACAAGTTTGCAATTTCCTTCATTTTGCAAGTTC